GATTATTGTGAAAGATTCAAGTTTGGTAATTACGACAAAATTTGAAGTAAATTTATTTGATAGAATTGAGAATGAAGATCGCAATTTAGATTTATGATTTTGAATAATATTATTTTGAGTTATTTTTGTTGAGTTATATTAAAATGTATTGAATTTGTGTAATTTTTAACATTTTTCTAAATATAGTATGATATTTAATTAGCAATATATATATGCGTATATGTGTATACGCTTCCAACACGTATGTATTTCTTAATTTTTTTATAATAATAATTGCTTCCTTGTATTTCTTAATTTTTTTATAATAATAATTGCTTCCACGTTACTACTCGTTTCTGCTTCCACATTTCCGGTTTCAATTCCATTCAACGTAGATGATAACATGTTTACTTTATCAATTAGACAGTTACCCGCGTTATACGCGGGATAATGTGATACTCGAGTAAAATTAATCTAGCTTTAATTTAAAACATCATCTATAGTTATTGAAAAAATTATTATACGAAATCTAAGACTTGTTTTTATATATGAATTTCGCAAATCTTTTGTATAGAAATGCATCCCACCCATGAAATAATTAAATTTTTTTTAAGTCACTACATATCACTTACTAATAAAATATATTTATTTACTATCATAATCTTCAAAAATATGGTTTATGACTCAAATATACAAAATAAAATATTGCAAATATTAATAGTAAACTTTTTTATTTTTCGTTTTTAAAAAACAAATCTAAAAAATTAATGATGTTTGGTTGTAAGGATTGCGTGATTGTGTAGTGTTTGGATAATAGTATAGTAGAGAATAAATAGGACACTGGAGTGTTTGGGTAATAGTATAGTAGAGAATGAATAATAGGGTTTAATTTTTTATTAAAATCTCTAAAAAATTGAGAGCTTGATACCTAAGCAAATTAATCCAAAAATGCTTTTCATTTAAGAGAAATTTCAAAAAATGCCACACTTTTGAAATTTTTACAAAAATGCCACTTTTTCAAAATTATTATTTTTTATATTATTTATGTTTAGGTTTATTATGTTTTATTAGGGTTTAGTTTTGAGTGTTTAAGGGGTTTTAGGTGTCAAAACATTTTTCAGGGTTTAGAATTTTAAGATATAGATTTTATAAATCTATAATTAGTGGAATTTTTGTAAATGAACACCTCTAAGTAGCATTCTTGCAAATGTGCACACAAAAGTGGCATTTTTGTAATTATCACTTCATTTAATATATAAAGAATACATTGCCACTGATTTTTTTTTTTCAGATTTGTTTTTTTTTAAATTGTAAAATCAAGAATGGATAATTTTAAAGAACCAACAAATTGAAAACCTAATATACTTTAAATCTAGTCGAGTTGATTTAAACTTATACATTTAATAACACACTCATATGGATTTTTGTTAAATGTTTGAAAAAACTATATAAAATCTTTTTAGAATAATTTTTTTATTTAAAATGTGTTTATGGTGATAGGAATTGAATCGATTCTCATCTTGACAACTAGGGATTTGTATAAACAATAATAAAAAAAATTGACCACTTTTGTTTTTAAAATAAATAAAAAAGATTAGATAAACAAAGATATATCAACAAGGAAGTGACCAAATCATGTCTTGGTAATGTCTATCATGTTCTTACAACATCTCAATTTGTAGATAAACAAAGAAATATGTATACACTTAGAATTAGAAAACTGATTCATACAAACTGATTCATACATATGGTACAAGACTAAACAATATAGGAGAGGAATCCATATGCCATTTTACCACTATTGAATTAGCCTAATAACTATTCAGATTAAACTTGAAATTTTCTTTAATTTTATCTTAGAGAATACAAAAAAAACCACAGTTATTCGCAGTCAAAGTCTCTTTTCTCTACCAACAACTCCATTTTTTAATGACTTTTAAGACCAATAAATTTGAAATAGTCACACCATTCAACAAAACAAACTGGGGTGAAATTCGAATTATCAGAAAGTATGGGGATCAAAACCAGAAATTAAAGACTGAGTCCGATTTGTAAAAAAAGTCAAAGCCACCACCTTCCTCTAGTGTCTGTATCTAA